GAAGGTACGCGGGCTCTGTGAACTCACTTCTGCAGGAATACTTCTGAATGTTGACTCTCATTACCAGGCAAATTCTAGCCTCTTGACCACGTGAAGGAATACTGGACCTTTGACTTCTCATTACTAGGCACCCTAGCCTCTTGGACCACACGTGAAGGAATACTGGACCGTTGAGCCCCCTTACCAGGTACCCTAGCCTCTTGGACCACGTGCAGGAATACTGGACCTTTGACTCCCTCATTACTAGGCACCCTAGCCTCTTGGACCACGTGAAGGAATACTGGACCTTTGACTCTCATTACTAGGCACCCTAGCCTCTTGGACCACGTGAAGGAATACTGGACCTTTGACTCCTCATTACTAGGCACCCTAGCCTCTTGGACCACGTGTGAAGGAATACTGGACCTTTGACTCTCATTACTAGGCACCCTAGCCTCTTGGACCACGTGTGAAGGAATACTGGACCTTTGACTCTCATTACTAGGCACCCTAGCCTCTTGGACCACGTGTGAAGGAATACTGGACCTTTGAGTCTCATTACTAGGCACCCTAGCCTCTTGGACCACATGTGAAGGAATACTGGACCTTTGACTCTCATTACTAGGCACCCTGGCCTCGTGGACCACGTGTGAAGGAATACTGGACCTTTGAGTCTCATTACTAGGCACCCTAGCCTCTTGGACCACGTGTGAAGGAATACTGGACCTTTGAGTCTCATTACTAGGCACCCTAGCCTCGTGGACCACGTGTGAAGGAATACTGGACCTTTGACTCTCATTACTAGGCACCCTAGCCTCCTTGGACCACGTGTGAAGGAATACTGGACCTTTGACTCTCATTACTTAGGCACCCTAGCCTCTTTGACCACGTGTGAAGGAATACTGGACCTTTGACTCTCATTACTAGGCACCCTAGCCTCTTGGACCACGTGAAGGAATACTGGACCTTTGACTCTCATTGACTAGGCAGTACTAGCCTCTTGGACCACGTGTGAAGGAATACTGGACCTTTGAGTCTCATTACTAGGCACCCTAGCCTCTTGGACCACGTGTGAAGGAATACTTGACCATTGACTCTCATTACTAGGCACCCTAGCCTCTTGGACCACGTGTGAAGGAATACTGGACCTTTGACTCTCATTACTAGGCACCCTAGCTTCTTGGACCACGTGTGAAGGAATACTTGACCTTTGACTCTCATTACTAGGCACCCTAGCCTCTTGGACCACGTGTGAAGGAATACTGGACCTTTGAGTCTCATTACTAGGCACCCTAGCCTCTTGGACCACATGTGAAGGAATACTGGACCTTTGACTCTCATTACTAGGCACCCTGGCCTCTTGGACCACATGTGAAGGAATACGTGTGGACCTTTGAGTCTCATTACTAGGCACCCTGGCCTCTTGGGACCACGTGTGAAGGAATACTGGACCTTTGACTCTCATTACTAGGCACCCTGGCCTCTTGGACCACCTGTCTGAAGGAATACTGGACCTTTGAGGAATCATCTCATTACTAGGCACCCTAGCCTCTTGGACCACGTGTGAAGGAATACTGGACCTTTGACTCTCATTACTAGGCACCCTAGCCTCTTGGACCACGTGTGAAGGAATACTTGACCTTTGACTCTCATTACTAGGCACCCTAGCCTCTTGGACCACGTGTGAAGGAATACTGAAGGGACCTTTGACTCTCATTACTAGGCACCCGTGAAGGAGTACCAGCCTCTTGGACCACGTGTGAAGGAATACTGGACCTTTGACTCTCATTACTAGGCACCCTAGCCTCTTGGACCACGTGTGAAGGAATACTTGACCTTTGACTCTCATTACTAGGCACCCTAGCCTCTTGGACCACGTGTGAAGGAATACTGGGCGTTTGACTCTCATTGCTAGGCACTCTAGCCTCTTGGACCACGTGCAGGAATACTTAATTCTTGACAAAATGCATAAATGCTAGCATTTCCTTAGGTCACAGGGTCAATTACGCGTATTTAGAGACACCCTTTCAACATACTTCTCGTGGCGTCGGATCGATGGAATGTCCAACGAGGCTCAGTAGGAGATAATCACAGAGTAAAATCCTTACCTGGATGTTCTATTGAACACGTGACGCTATAGAGTCTTCACACACGTCACATGCTTATGATACGCTGGTGTACATGCGGTTGAGAGAATATCCGATATCTGTCTGGAGGTTATTGTTACCAGATAATCGGAGGATAGCAACACCTGGCTTTACTATCAGGAGTGGGATTACTCAATATCGTGATGGCATCTGGCGAGAAGCCCAACATGATGTGGACAAAGCTGGGGTAAGTTGTCGAAGATGAAGGGCAGTGTTTAGTGATGTATAAGTGAGTGAGTGAGTGAGTTTTACGCCGCACTCAGCAATATCCCAGCTATATGGCGGCTGTCTGTAAATAATCGAGTTTGGACCAGACAATCCAGTAATCAACAGCATGAACATCAATCTACGCAAATGGGATACGATGACATGTGAAATATTGCAGACTACGTCAAAAGACACTATCCATGCACTCGCTCTGAACGCGAGGCGCAACTTCCGGTAATAGATTTCCGGCGACATGCATGTATACAAGAACCAGTTCTGGTTCCATATTGCGCGACCGCAATATATGACTTCACTAGACTGGACCAAGTGTACTACCACCCTTGGCTGCTTGAATATACCCCTTGTAACAGTGCTATCGACATTGCCGTAAAACCTTGTTTTTCACCGGAAGTACTAAAGTCTCGCAAAGTGCCGTGACCTACTTACGGGCCCTAAATGACCTTGACACAAGAATGGGATCTGTGATGTCAGTAATGTATCAATTTTGAAATCTTTTGTTTGGTGTTTAACGCCGCACTTACCAATTATAGGCTTTGTGACGGCAGTAAATGCTCCAGTCTGGACCACTCCATCCAGTGATGGACATTACGAGCACCGATCTTCTAAACTGCAATAAGAAGACATGCATAAATAATGTCACCGCGTTTGACCTAGCTACCCTCAAATCTCAACAGTCGTCTCTTACGACAAGCATGCTTAAGACCCACTTCATGTTCAGGGGTATTTTGAACATTATTTGAATTGTATCACGACAAGTCACTCTGGCGAGTTGGCCCGAATGAGTGCATGGCAAGGTTGTGAACGTTTAGCTAAACCCTGGACATTGGGTAGGACGCTAGCAGATAGCGGAACCTGATTAGAGCAGGTGAGGCAACTCTCCCTGGGATAGGTGTGCGTTCTTGGAGTGTTGAGCTCCACACACTGGCGATGCTTGGGTAGTCGGAAGAAAACATTTCTAACTCCACTGTTTTCGTGTTAAACTTGCGGTCCGTTTGTCTAGAAGAGAGAACGATGTACTGACAAATTACTTAAAAGTGCTTGTTCGGGCTAGTCCTCCTTACGTTATTGCCCCATCCGCTAAACATGTCAACTTGTCCACATAACAGCATGATAGTTTCTCAAACAACTTGTTTCAGTGATGGGTATAAAATAACAAAACGCAGATATTATTGGTTATACAGAGTATTCCTTGACCCGTACCGTTCTTTACGATTATGAGTTGTTTTGTAATTCATCGGCCTCATTCACAGACAAAACGGGCTGTAGTTAGGACTGAAACGTGTCACCACTCGCCCTTTCCGTAACCTCCAAGAAGACGTCCCTGTCTCGATGCTTGTTATGTGCGAAAATACCACAGACCAATCAGAAAGCGCGTAATGGTTGCGATGCTTTGATAAAAATAATCCGAACTACATAAATCGTTTTTGCATTATGTTATTGTTTAAAAATCATGAAAATATTTATCGCCTTATTGAAAGTATTAAGAACGTAGCTAACAGAATTGTGCTATCTAATGGGAAGTTTTTTTTATCAGAATCATGCGATTGAAGGTGAGAGATTCAAATACACGCACGTGAGTTTTTTACATAACGGTCCAAATGAGTGTATTTCTGCGGGCTTGTGGTGATTGTTCGTGCGCTTCTAACAGTTTTTAAAATGTAATTATAGATCGCTACGACTTTCAAAACAATAATATTATATCTGTATGTAACTCATCAACTTTAATCTTTAACATTGGGCAGACATTTTAATTCTCTGGGAATATTTTAGTCTGACCTTTTTGGTCATTCATATATTTTTCATCGAATTCATTTAAAATTCCACTTGGGGTATGACAGCAAGGTTACGCGTATGTTCAGTTTAAGAAATATTACAAACGTTATTTTTGAGTTTCTGCTTTTTATAAATTATTTGCATATCCAATAAAACAAATCCCATTTCTCATTATTAAACCCTTTCCAGAAATAAAATTGAAAATATAAGGGGAAAATCTGGTAATAATTACGCCAGAATATGTCTTTAACAAATATGTTATTCTCTTTCTTTAAGTTGTACCAAGGAGGTTTAATTCTTTAAAATATATAAGCAAAAACAAAAACAACAATACAATGTATGAGTACTTCGGTGATATTAAGTACCATTGTAATCAAACAAGAATAGAGTTGTCGTTCCTGTTTGAAGTAGTTCTGATGTTCCTACGCCAATATGAAATCCTTCCAGAGGGCACGAGTCGCTATTCTGCTTGTCCCGGAATAACACGAGTTGGTCACGAATGGAGTTGGCCATGGCCGATATCGATGTAGCATTATATTGAGAAGCTGAAATATCGATAATATCAATGCCTGAAAAAGTGATTGATGGCAAAACAATTTAAGAAACAGGGAACCCACGCCACACAGTTAGGGCCATGCTGTCCAAGGAATCCACCTTCGATGACTGGATACCGACAACCTTGTAAATGCACGATCACTAACGCGTGTGCTGCGGATGAATACATCAATGAATGTTCTGTTTTTTAAGCTCTATACTTTTTTATTTAAAATATAATTGATTTATTGAGATCAATCATCAATCTTGTGAAGTTTAATATACTATTCTAAAGATGCGCACCACAGCAAAAAATACCCACCCCCAACACCCACCCCGCCCCCGACCCGCCTATGGTTAGTGTATCCCACTTGCGTTGAACGATGCCCATGATATCAATCACAGGACTGTCTGGTTCAGAATTTTGCTGAGTGCGGCGTAAAAAAATAAATAAAACAAACACGACAAAACCCCACAAATATGATTAAATATACTCATGCCAATAATGGTTGTCACCCCCTCCCCACCCCAAACCCCCACACCCACACCCCACACCCCCTCTCCAATTAAAAGAATTAAAGGGGTGACAACCATTATTGGCATGAGTATAATTGCGACATCTGTTTAACCAGTCGAGTTCACCAGGAGCGAAATAGGAGGGCTGGATTATCGAGGTTTCACTGATACTAATTCTGTCCTCGACACCTCTAAATATACTACCCATCAAAAGTTTAGACTCACTTAAAACATAACTATATGTTATGTATATATATATGGTTACAACGAAGATGAATTTCTCCACTAACTTGAGGAAAACAACTGCAAACCCTAAGCAGATTAACTGCACGAGGATCATGCATCAAACTGCTGAAAAGTATATGCAAATATCGTGCATGTGAACAGCTGCGTTTTGGTGTAAAGTTTTGATAAGAATTCGCCATTTTTAACAGAGTTTCATCATTTATTAAACACATGATAATAATCTTTTCAACGTTATGAATTTGTTTTACAATACATCAGTTCATGTATAAACAGCACCGTTAAACAGTATGGAATTTTTGCAAAATTTAGTTTAGAACAGTTACCTAAAGTAAGAATAGAAGAATAATTTATTTCGGTATATAGGCCATTGGCCCGTGTACAATAAATGCAAAGTGGTATATGATATATAGACAATATGGTTTAAACATATACATAGGTATATATATACATGTCTCTTCTAACATTGGATAGAATTCCTTTTTGATATTGCATGTTTAATAAATAATGAAATTTTTATGAGTAAATTCTTATCTTTGCATGTTAACAACTATGATATTTGCTTAAAACAGATGGACAATTAAATTCTGGTAGGTATTTGCTTCTTAAATTTGCATATGCATCACAGACAAGTACAAAATGCAATTCATCCTCAAAATTATCGCGGTTACACATTTTACATATTTTGCTTAACCCACTGTCATCTTGACATCTTACGTTACATAGGAGAGGCAATTGTTGAATACGTAATAAGCATAAATAACGGCGATATTCCTTTAGATGTACATTAGAAATTTAGTATTCAACATTCAGTAATGACTTTAATGATTTGTAATAAGATAAATGTGCTGATTCATTTATTTTGCTAAACATATTTTGCTTTGCAGAATCTACAAGTCTTTGTTTAAACATAAATACAAAATCATTTACGCTACCAACTTTTTGGCTTACCCACACAAAACCAAATCCATACGTGTTTAACAATATTCTTATATAAGATGCCCAAGTAATTCTGCTACAATCATCAAGCTTTTTCAAAAGAATATAAGATTGCTTGGGGTAACATGTGGCTACATGTACACTAGTGAGTCGAAACTTTTGATGGGGAGTATATATGAAGGCGTATAAATATATACATATAAACATCTTTTGACCCACCGTAATGGCCTGTATGTCGTCAGTTCGCAGGCAAACACCTTTTGTAGAAACAGAGGACATGGTTAATTGTTCCGACGTCAAGTGGCTGATTATAGCTGTGTCGACTTCACACAAAGCGACACAAAGTCTGAGGGATACAGTCGGGTTCAGCTGCTTACAGGGGCTATTGATACCGTTCCATTGATTCCACTTGCTATTCAAAACGGAACAAGCAGATTCATTTACGGCAAATGGAGCGGGATATCTACATTGTCGTTAACATGTGCAGGCCTTGGAGTGGACGTAAACACCCCGTACATGTTAGTTGTATAATCTATGGAACGCTTACTGACTTGAGGGAACCGCTCAAAGAGCGGGTGGAAGCAAAGCGTTAAAGGGGGACTACCAGAATATAGGTTGTTTGTTGTTTAACGTTACACTCTGCCATATTGCAGTTATATGACAGCAGATATTCAAGTCGAGTCTTAGACGAGACTATCCGGTGATTGATATTATGAGCGACAATCCACGCCGTTAGGGCACTATGATGGTCTGGTCACCTGATTCATTAACTTGCCGTGATTAAAGCGCTCGCTCGTCACGCCGAAGACGCACAAGGGTACAATGTATGAAGCCCATTTCTGGTGTTCCCCGCTGTGAAATTGCTAAAAGGGGCATAAATTTAAACTCACTCACTAAGACTGTCTCCGTTGCCTTGTGGTCTGAGTGTGTGCCCCGATAGCGGAAGGTCTCTGG